GTCTCTTCTCCTTGAATCTGGAATATTTCCAAATTTTGGGTACCGACATGTAGAGAGAACAAGTCTCCCCCTTTTTAATAAAAATGGAAGTTCCCCCCCTTGAGTTTGCCCCATGTGTCCTCATGATGATTAGCTTCACGGCATACATTCCCCACCAGAATGTAGGGGGGGAGGGGTGTCCTTCCTTTTTAGGGTCCATGGTATGAAGTGTGTAAAGCATGGAGGGACTTCATTTTGTCATAAGTCATTTTTCTGTTGTCCAAGGTTTACCTTGAACGTGTCTCCTTCTACACTTCTGCATGTTCTTCCTTCGTTCATTTGAATACCTTCTCCTCTGCTCCAGCCCCAAGCCACCAGCTCCTCCTAAAATGCCGGCTTCATCGATGCCAGCAGCAACTCGCTCCTTTTCAAAGCACGTGTGGTTTCTGTGAGCAGGGCCCTACCGCGATAGGAACATGGGGTTCGGGAATTCCTGCGGAGAAGTAAGTGACCTTCCCCTCTCGATCCCTTATTTTCACCTCTTCCAAACACAACTGGACCTTGGGTTCTGTCCCTGAGCGAGTGACAGCTCCGGGCGGCTTTGTGGGCAGGAAGCCACAGCTGGGGTGCCGTTGGGGACAACGAGGTGGCAGGAGATAGAACACTAGCTCTGCCTTCAAAACAGTCTTTTTGGCAGTTATGTAATATCTGATCTGTGTGAAATAACATACGTGTAAATTGGGAGGCTTAAAAAGACCACCCGTGAGCCTACCATCCTATTCGAGAGCATAGCATTACTGTTAAGGCACCCTTCCCTTTTCCCATCTTTCACCCACCCCCCCAATCCCCCCAACCCGCTCCACACACTCCCGTCATTGCTGCCGTAAAAAGTACCACAGACCGAGTGTTTTTTAAATAACAGAGACTTATTGCTCAGTTCTGGAGGCTGGAAGTCTGAGGTGAAGGTGTCGGCAGGGTCGGTTCCTTTTGGGCCTCTCTCCCTGGCTTGCAGATAAACACCTTCACGCTGCATCCTCTTTCTCCGTGCGTGGGCATCTGTGGTGTCTCCGTGTGTGCAAATGGCCTCTTCTTATAAGGACACCGGTCGGCTTGGGACGGGGCCCACCCTACTAGCTTCATTTTAACTTAACCATTCTAAAGACCCTTGTCTCAGATACAGTCACATCCTAAGGTATTGGGGGTTACGGTTTCAATGTATGACTTTTGCGAGGGGGCCACAATTCAACCGATAGCCATATCTTCCTGTATGTCGTCTGCAGCTCGCCTTATTATTAAAGTCTTTTTTTTTTTTAGAGCAGTTTTAGGTTCACAACAAAGTTAAGAGGAAGGTAACAGAGAGTTTTCAGACACCCCTTGACCCAAACATATATAGTCTCTCCCCCACCAGAGTGGCGCATTTGCTACCATTGACGAACCTATATAGACACATCATTATCACCCAAAGTTTCCATCAGGGTACATGAGTTTGGAAAAACGTGTAATGATATGCATCCATAATTATAGCATCATACAGAGTAAAAACCCTCTGCGGTCCCTCCCCCAACCCCTGGCAACCACTGATCT